AATGACATTGACCTACAAAATAAAAATAAAAAGAAGCCATAGAGAATTGTAGCCTGTAGTAGGTGGATCAATTTGCGTAAAAGAGGGGGATTACTTTGTTTCGGAAAAGGGGGGAAGGGAATACTTTATTTCCCCTAAAAAAGAGGTCTTATTGTACCACCACTGGTCAATCCGTTACGTTTTGCTGCCACCAGATAGTTCTTTTGTGTGATAATCAACCAATATAAAGGCCGATTTTTTTCCGATTTTTTAACTTCAGCTAGATTTTTTAACTTCAGCTCGGGTTTTTCTTTGCTTGAGTGTAGCTAGCTTTAAAGATTTCAAAGTTTCTCCTATGAGTTGTGAAAGCCACACAAATCTGACAAAGATAAAACATGAAACTTATACCCTGATTTACTTCACAACATCTGATAATTATCTTGACAGTTGTCAGATCGAAACATCTGCGTCTATTCCAGTCTCTGATAGTTATCTTGACAGTTGTCAGACTGAAACATCTGCCTCTAATCCAGTCTCTGATAGTTATCTTGACAGTTGTCAAACTGAAACATCTGCCTCTATTCCAGTCTCTAATAGCTAGTTTGATAGTTGTCAGACTGAAACATCTGCCTCTAATCCAGTCTCTGATAGCTAGTTTGACAGTTGTCAGACTGAAACATCTGCCACTACTCCAGACCCTGATAGCTAGTTTGATAGTTGTCAGACTGAAACATCTGCCTCTATTCCAGCCTCTGATAGCTAGTTTGACAGTTGTCAGACTGAAACATCTGCGTCTATTCCAGTCTCTGATAGCTAGTTTGACAGTTGTCAGACTGAAACATCTGCCTCTATTCCAGTCTCTGATAGCTAGTTTGATAGTTGTCAGACCGAAACATCTGCGTCTATTCCAGTCTCTGATAGTTATCTTGACAGTTGTCAGACTGAAACATCTGCCTCTATTCCAGCCTCTGATAGTTATCTTGACAGTTGTCAGACTGAAACATCTGCGTCTATTCCAGTCTCTGATAGTTATCTTGACAGTTGTCAGACTGAAACATCTGCCTCTATTCCAGTCTCTGATAGTTATCTTGACAGTTGTCAGACTGAAACATCTGCCTCTATTCCAGCCTCTGATAGTTATCTTGACAGTTGTCAGACTGAAACATCTGCGTCTATTCCAGTCTTTGATAGTTATCTTGACAGTTGTCAGACTGAAACATCTGCCTCTATTCCAGTCTCTGATAGTTATCTTGACAGTTGTCAGACTGAAACATCTGCCTGTATTCCAGTCTCTAATATCTAGTTTGATAGTTGTCAGACTGAAACATCTGCGTCTATTCCAGTCTCTGATAGTTATCTTGACAGTTGTCAGACTGAAACATCTGCGTCTAT